TTCCTGTCGTTGAACATCGCGCCCAGCAGCTTGGTGCTTCTAGCGATGGTGACGCAGAGCCCCATGTCGGTGATGCTGTGATTGTCCCGTATCATGGTCCGTGTAGCTCTTTTGCCTGCGACGGTGTTGGGGTAGACGATGAAGCTGGACTTCTTGGTGTTGATCGGGAGGCCTCTTCGCAGTGTCGCGCGTATGAGGTGTCCCCACATCTTGGAGATGTCCTCCTCCTGCTCCTTCTCCTCCTCCTCCTCCTGATATTCCTCCTCCTCCTCGCCCATGCGGCAGCGGCCAAGGATGGGCCGAGGAGGCCAGGATGCAAAGGGTACCCCTTGGGAGCGTTGCCCATCCTTGCTGTGCGGGCTGGCCCCACACAGTGCGGAAGTCCGGCCCGCCGGGCCATCGAAGGTCCGAGCGCCGGAGAAGCACCTGGCTACGCGTGGGCCACGCGTGGGCGATGATCATAGGGGGCCACATGCGAACCCTACTCCTACCCCCCACGATTTCTGAGGGGGAGGGTGGGGCTCACTTCGTTCGGGAGCTCTCGAGCGAAGTGAACCCCACCCTCCCCCTCAGAATTCGTGGGGGGTAGGGGTAGGGTTCGCATGTGGCCCCTTAGATCAACAACGGTTCTCTCGCGAGATGTCACTCACAGTGGCCTTGCGCTGCGGCTTGCGCGGGCCGCCAGCGCGGCACGCTACGTTAAAGACGAGGGCGCTTACGCGCGACCTTGTGCGGGCGCAGTTGCAGGGAGACAACGCAGCGACAGAACGATCGAGATGCCCCCTGCCCAGCCGTCAGCCTCTGAAGAGTCCCCTCTCGTCTTGAATGTTTTGGGAGATGCGTTCTATAACTGATCTCCTGGGAGCTAAATGGCTCCTTGGCGTCTTGAACCGAACACTGGCAGCGGGGCGAGGAGATACCAAAAAGGAGACAGATGAAGCCACGACGTGTACAAGAGAGCGAAGCAGGCCAGATGCGCTTTTTCGTTGATACCTGTCACAACAAAATCGCAGCAATACTCATGGCACACGTTCGAAATCGAAGCCGTACGACCGAACTCCGAGGGAGCGATCAAGTGCAACGGATCTAGCCAAACCAAATGCCTTTGAGCGTCTGCCGCCGTCGATGGAGACTCAGACCAATGGACTTCACCGAATTTCGGTGAGGAATTTCGGTGAGAAACGAAGCCAGAGAAACGATGTATGAATTGGTCGCGCCCTCCGCTCAAGAACAGTCCGTCCGTCTCGATGGAAGAATGCCCTGCCACGAACTGGCCGAGAGCGACGCATCTTTGCGCTGCGTCGCCAGCTCGGCTTCTTCGACTGCCCGACTGGCTGTCGCGAACCCAAGAGTTTGCGACGCATGATGTGACGTCACGGACGCTGTTCTTTTTGACGACGCTGATACCGCTCTGCACGTCGTTCATTTCTAACCGTGCTCATTTCTAATTGTGCTCGTTTATAATTATTCTCGGCCCCCTAGTGGCCAGGAAGAGGCCCAGGATAGAATACTTAGAAATGACAGGTTCTTGGCCCCCCCAAAAATTTAAGGGCCTTCGAATACTTAGACATGAGCAATGTGCACCTCGAAAAGACTCTGTCATCATATGGTGGAGCTCGGTCAAGAGTAGCCTCGCTCAGGCCGCCGGTGGCCTAACGCTATCCAATGGCAACGCCACCGTCGCCGCCACGTCGACCCGGCGCGAACCTGGTTGGCGACGCTGGTCGCCAGCACGCCGTCTTCACGGGCGACCCTGGCACCATGTCGAACGACGGGCTAGAAGCCCATGGGTGGGCACAAAGAACCTGGAACACAGCTACACACACACGCTCACTTTTACCGTCGCGGCTGGCTGGCCCAACGCAGCGAGAGCAACAGTGGGACGCGCTGAGGGCAAATGCCATCGAAGGTGTGCCGATGGGGGGTCAGGCCGACGAGCGGGTGACGGATGCAGCGCCGAAAGCCATGCACGGGGAAGGAACTACAGCAGGCAAGGAAGGCCCAGAGGCAGGGCGCGCGAAGACAAATTCCGTCACTTGCTGCCCGCTTCGGAGCGCGCGACAGCGAAGCCAGGCAAGGGAAAGCGCGGCCGCAGCGAGTGCGCCCGACGAAAAGGGGCCAAAGCGTGAGACGGAGGGCCATGCCAGCTCAGCAAGCGACGCAGAGGTGAAGGTGCTCCCGCGCCAGGATGCACGACACCGAAGAGCAGCGGCAGCAGGAGGTAGAGCAGAGAACGACACCCGAAAACCGGGGCGAACCGGGAGCCCCGGGCTGGGGGGAGGAAGGAGCAACACACACACACACACAACTGGATTCACGTGTAGAACGAGCGCTGGCAATGCTCGTTGGATGCCCTTGCGACGGCGGGTGCACGCGGCCTCAAGAGGGCCGAGCGCTGGAAAGACGTCGAGCCACAGGTGTATGCAGCTCTCCCCCAGGCGGGATGCATCCAGCTTCCGCGGGTAATAACTCCAAGTAGGGCCGAGGCTCCGAGAAGGTTCTTCTCAGGTGCTGTCAGAAAGTGGCAGGGCCCGGGGTGTCGGGAAGAGCTCCGAACCTCCGAGCCCGCCCCAGAGACGACGAGAAGACCATCGCTTCCCCCGATGCCAGCTTCAGGCGCACCACGCCGGGGGCCAGGGGGTCGGCAATTCCTGATCTTGTTTCTGTTGAGGCCACGCGCGCACGCGACGCGACATTCTCTGCCCGAGCGTCCCGCGCCCTCTTTGGGGGGGAGTCTTGAGCGTCGCTTGAGGCGGGGCAGCAAGCGGGGGGGGTGGGGACGCCGAACTCGCCATCGCTCGGACGTCCATTCCCCGTGCGTGCTGTCGGCTTCGTGCGGGCATTGCCAGATAAGATCCAACATTCTCCTAGATGGTCCTAGCCTACAAAAAACGCACACGTCCGAGCGATGCCAAGCGAGTGTAGAAACGAGCACAGTTCGGGCACGCGGGGCAGCGTTAGGGGGGGGGGTCGCGCAGATTCACATGGAATGGAGCGTGGGGCTCACAGCTGAGCGGGAGATGCTGGACGAGGACATTGCTTCCTACATCGCAGAGTTCAAATAGAGAGGGAGCATGAGGAGGCGGAGGAGAGAGGATGAGGACGGCAACACATCAGTGCTGCCTCACACGAATGCTCAGCGAACGATTTCGAACGCTGAAGGCTGCGCAACAGGCGACAATTCAAACGCACAGCGTCGCGTACGAATGCACCCTGCATCGCACCTGGGGGGGATCCGACTGGGAGGACACGGGGGGGAGGGGGGGACAGGGGGGGGAATCCGCCCAGGTGGGCAGGATACACAAAGGCATGGCCATGGTGTGAAAACCAACGGATCGCTGGGAATTGCGGCTGCAGCGAGTATCTAGCTTGCTTCTGGGGAAGAGGCCAGCTGCATGCACCAGCAAAGAGGGAAGAGAGAGAAGGCACGAGGGGGAGGGGCTATCAAGAGGAGGGGGGCCGACGCATCAGCACAACGAGGGCGACAGACCCGTCCTCGCCATCCTTGGTCGACAACTTGTGCGTCTACAGCGCATGACAGCAGAGACTTCAGAGAGAGAGGGCTCGTCGACAGCTGAGGTCAGACGCAGTGGCACTGCGCATCAACTACGCACCGCCCATTTGACTTCACCTTTCTGGGCGATTTGCAATTTCTCCACGCAGAAATCGTGACGAACATCGATGCTGGGCGATTTTTTGCGCATCGATGCGGCGGTTTGCAGAAATGGCGGCGAATCTCGTCACCGCCGGGCGACTTGCAAGTCGTCGGCATCGGAGCCGACGCTCGCGGCTGCTGGGGCGCCGCAGGCCTCGCAGCACGGCCGGTGCTGGAACAGCAGCAGCCCGCACCGGTCGCACTTCCGAGGGCATCCGGCCCAGATCGTCCGGGGCAGCCTGCCACAGGCGGCACCTGCCCGCCGCCACGGGGACGCTCCACTGCCGGAGCAGCAGCGCCAGCGAAGAAGACGACGCGCTCGGCGGCGTGGGCTTGTGCTCTGGGCGGGCCAGCTGCTGCAAGCATCTCGGGCTGCTGGGCGGCGCGGCTGCGGGGCCGCCCTGGGCCTCCTGAGACGGCAGCACCTCGTGCTCCAACACGGGAGGTCGATGCTGGGAGCCGATCCCAGGTGTTGGCGAGCCGACGCTGGCGCCGCAGGGCTGCCTCGCCCGCACAGGGCCGCCGAGCTACTCGAGATCCCGACTGGCCGAGGTGCCTGGGCGCCGTCGGTGCTGCCGCTGCTGGGCCTTCCAGTGCCGAGGGCCGCCTCCTCGGTCTCCGTCGTCCCGACCGCGAGAGGTTTCCTCGTGGTGACCAGCTGCAGGCTGACCTGCTGCGTCGAGGGGCGCATGGCTGGCTGCGGCTGGGTGCACTGCTCCACCACCGGTCGGTAAGCCTGCGTGATTAAGCTCGTCGGCTTGCGCAAGCAACGCGAGACTGTGCAGCTGGCCGCGTCTCAGCCGGCTCTGCAACCGCTCTCCGTGCTTGCCCTCAAACGGTAGGCGCCCCGTCACGATGACACACGTCAACAGCCCAAACGAAGAACAGTCGGCGGCCGTGTCTGGGGGAACGACCTGGCGTGAGAACAACTCTGGCGCCATCCATCGCAGCGTGCCGCCCAGAGGCCTCGCATTCCGGGTCACGAGCCGCGACAGGCCGAAGTCGAGCAGCTTGGCGCGGTACGAGCTTCGCCCACTCCCACTGCGCCGCTCCTCCACGAGAGTGTCGGAGTCCTTCAGGTCGCCGTGAACAACCACGGGATGCATCGAACGCAAATACCACAGGGTGTTCAGGACGTCGGCGAAAACCACCAGCGGCCGTGCGGAGCTGATGGCCAAGGCAGTGCAGAACGCGCCGAGGGGCACACGGCCCACAAACTCGAGCAGCAAGCACAGCTTGTTCGAGTCGACGGCCATGCACGCGCCGCACAGGGACGCGATGTTGGGGTGACGGACGCGGCGGAGAATCCCGTGCGCATTGCAGAGCTGGGGCAGGCACGAACTCATGGCGCACTACTCATTGACGCTTCCCTTCGGCGCCTTCACAGCCGCTGGTGCGTTCTGGTAAGACCCCAAAGCGACAATGCCGAATTCACCCTCGCCGAGCACCCTGTCGGGCAAGAGCTCCAGCTCGCCGTCCTCGATCAGCCACTGCTCTCGGCGGCCAATGGCGTGGACCTGGTCCAGCGACGCGTGCTCCACGCTGCTATTGAAGGCAGCTGCGCTCATCGTCGCCCCAGGGCGCGACAGGGCGGACCGATCGGAGCCGAGGTCCTCCGCCCTCGCGGCCTCGCCGTTGGTCACCCTAGACAGCTGGAGCTCGGCCTGGAAGCGCCTCTGCTTCTCCGCCAAAAAGCCCGCGAACAGCTGGCGCTTCTGCCTCTCGAACGCCCGCCTCCCAATGGCCGCGAACACTGTTTTTTATCTAACAGCGAAGACTGATAGGTTTCTAAATGTTCTCCAAGAAAAAAAAAACATCTTGACTCCTCAGGGAGGTCTGGGCAGATGCCGGACGGGTGCCGGGGAGAATCCGCGGAAGTCGTTTTAAGCAAACAGTTACACACTTCGTGGTCTTCGAGGTCCCAGAACTCCATTCCTGGGCATGTTTTTGAATGCCCGGAGCCAACTGTAGGACACTTCGTGGTCTTCGAATTCCCAGAACTCCATTCATGTGCATGATTTTGAATGCTCGGAGCCAACCGTAGGCCACTTCGTGGTCTTCGGGTTCCCAGAATTCCATTCCTGGGCATGATTTTGAATGCCCGGAGCCAACTAACTGTAGGCCAATTCGTGGTCTTCGAGTTCCCAGAATTCCATTCCTGGGCATGATTTTGAATGTCCGCGGCGAGCCGCTGTATCGGCTGCCCTCACCGCCGCGGTTGTCTCACTTTTGCCCGCGGTGCTTCTCAGCCCGCAATTGCTTTTCTGGACGCGTCGGTGCTGATGGGGCAGCACTGATTCCTTTGCAAACAATTCGGTGGGTAGCGAGATACGGGGCGCCTCAGTCTGCATCCTGCATGCAGTCTTGCTGCTGTGCAAACGATGGTACAGACCACCGCAGTAGGGAGATAATGCAGAGCGGTGAAAACACTGATACAGACATGCCCTGCAGCGCCTGCATGTTACTACTGGTGCTACTGGTGCTACTAGTAGTAGTAGTAGTAGTAGTAGTAGTAGTAGTAGTAGTAGTAGTACTACTACTACTACTACTACTACTACTACCACTACTACTACCACTACTACTACTCCTACTACTACTACTACTACTACTACTACTATTACTATTACTTTACTATTACTACTCCTACTACTACTACTACTACTACTACTACTACGACTACTACTACTACTACGACTACTACTACTACTACTACTACTACTACTACTACTACTACGACTACGACGACGACGACTACTACTACTGCGACTAAGACTACCACTACGACTACGACTACGACTACGACTACGACTACGACTACTACTACGACTACGACTACTACGACTACTACTACTACTACTACTATTACTACTACTACTACTATTACTACTACTCCTCCTCCTCCTACTACTACTACTACTACGACTACTACGACGACGACGACGACGACGACGACGACGACGAGGACGACGACTACTACTACTACTACTACTACTACTACTACTACTACTACTACGACTACGACTACGACTACGACTACTACGACTACGACGACTACGACTACGACTACGACTACGACTACGACTACTACGACTACTACGACTACGACTACGACTACGACTACGACTACGACTACGACTACGACTACGACTACGACTACGACTACGACTACGACTACGACTACGACTACGACTACGACTACGACTACGACTACGACTACGACTACGACTACTACTACTACTACTACTACTAGGCAGAGGCTGAGGCTGGGGCAGGCTGAGGCTGAGGCTGAGGCAGCGCGATGGCTGAGGCAGGCTGAGGCTGAGGCTGCGACTGCGACTGCCGTTGCCACTGCAACTGCCATTGCGATTGCGACTGCGATTACACCAGAATTCTACAACAGGACTCCTACATGAATCTCAAGGGCAATGCTTCCATATCTGCTTCTAAACATCGCTGTTAGGTTGCTTTGCCGGGATAATTTTGGTGTTGAGGGGGGGGGGGACTCCGATACGCACGGGCATGGCAGCTCTCTCCGAACTAGCGGCGTCCTCACCGTGCCCCGTGAGGTGGACCCTGGGGCCCTGCCAGAACAAACTCGTGCACCCGCGTCGGCCACGCTCGGCGCTGTGCGAAACACTACTGGAGGTGAAGCTGGCGAAGTGGCAACCGAACTGCCAGCCAACGAAGAAGGAGAGAAGGAGAAGGACGAGGAGGAGGAGGAAGAAAGGAAGGCGAGGGGGAGCGGAAAAGCTGCAGTGTGGACATCCCCATTTGGCCTAGTCAGCCGAACATCTAAAGACACACACGGTGGCTGAAGGAAGGAGGAAGGAGGGAGGAGAAGGAGAGCGCACAAAGTACTGAAATGCAGCCGCCCTCGGCATATTGTAATGCAGCCGCCCTCGGCATCAGATGGCCAGGGCATTCGCCGATGCAAAATGTCGTCAGCCGAGGCCGGAAATCAAACCGTGCCCGTGTCAAGTAGATACTGTGGGCGAGCGGAGCTCAGCCATCAAGTTACCGCGCAAGTGTAACAGATTCGTAGATTATAACAGAGGCGGCCCCCAGACCGGCCTCCAGCGCAGATCGGGGCGTCGCGAAAACGCTCACCGCCGGCGAGCAGAGCAGGACCGCAGCGCTGCCAAGACCGCGAGCAATGAGGAGACCGCGAGAACCGGGCGCGTGCAGGAGGGAGGAGGGAGGAAAGGACAGGGGAGACATCAGGCTCAGGCCGAGCACCCCGGCTACCCGCCAAACAAGCAGCCTGGGCAAAGAACGCCACACCACGATTCGGAGCAGGGCGAAGGGGGACGAGGGAGAGAGGGGAGACGGGCAGAAGAAAAGCATGTCCACACGAGCTACCCTGCTCACCATGTAGGCGGTGATGCAAGCTATCGTGTCCCGGCCGCGTGGCCGATGAAGTGCTGGCCGACGGTTTGGTCACGATCGCAAGCGGAGGCCGGCTGGGTAAACGTCACCGCGGCAACAGTCGAAGACTGGGCTCAGTCAGAAGATGCAGCCGTTCCTCTATTCGCCTAAGCGCACTTCAGGCGGCCTCCAAGAAACGACACACTAGACAAAGTCTGAGGAGGGAAAGAGGGGGGAGGAGGGGGAGGGGAGGAAGGAGGGAGAAAGGGGAAATGCTGTGCACGCCAACTATCGGCCACGCGGCCGGGACAAAGGCCACGCATGTGTGTGTGTCGGGCCGGCCTGAGAGCGCTGCACTCCACCAGTCTGGTCTGCGCCTACGGCCCTGGCCGCGTGCTCTTCCAGCACGCTTGGGCAATCCCCCCAGGTGGACGACCCGACAACAGCAGCAGCAGCACGGGGGCAGAGACGGGACGACACCCGGGGGCCAGGACGAAGCCGGAGCCGGGGGAGGGAGGGAGAGCGAGCAAGAGGGGAACGACCGACAGACGACCAGCGAGGCAAAGCCAGAGGAAGGGAGGGGCGAGGCCCGGGCGACCGCCCAAGAGCGGAGCAACGAGGGAGGCGCAGAGGAGCGGCGCAGAGCGGCGAGAGGAGGGCGACGACACAGCACCGGGGGGTGCCTACGGTGACGCACCAGCTGCGTCGAGCGGCCGAGCTCGAGCCAGCTCTGGCCAGCGTGCTCTCTCCAGCGCGCCAGGCCACCTGGACACGCGCACATCGAACAGGAAAGGGGGGGGGGGGGGGCCAGGAAGGGGGAGGGGGAGGTCGAGGAAGGGGAGGAGGGCGAGGAACAGGAAGGGGAGGCAGGGAGGGCAGCGACTGGCACACACGCGTGCTGCCGCTGTCCGCCGTCCTCGCGTCGCGCGGCAAACGTCGATGGCCGCGAACACTGTGAGCGAGAGGAGATCGATGACCGTGTACGGCACCGTGTTTGCGGTCGGGCTGCCAAGCAGCAGCGCGGGCACGATGTAGGCCAAGACCGCAATCACCTCCATGGGAGCGATGACAATCCAGCAGATGGGCAGCAACAGATGCAGGGCGGTGACCACACAGTCAATGCAGATAGCGATCATGCCGTCGCTGCTGCCCAGCTCAACGCCACATATGGTCTCCCGATCGCCATGACCGAACAATCGCGCAGCGTAATGCTTCCCGAATGCTCAGCACCCCTGCCAGGTAGAAAGTGCATGCAGGCACCGCGGTGATCTCCGATCCCCGGGTGCTGCTCAACTCGTGCCTGGCTGGCACTCGTCCACGGACGCAGGGGCGAGGAGCACGGGCACGGTGACGACGATGCCGACGAAGACCTGTCACCTACCAAGCTCCCGCGCCTCCGCCCCGGGGTACTGAGCGTCCTCCCAGAACCGGTGCGCAGGGAAGCCCGCCGGGAGGCTCACGAAGGCCAGGGAAGCGGCCGCCAGCGCTGTGCAGTGGCAAAGCTGCACCGTGTGCGTCAGCGCGATCCCCTCCCCGTTCAGTGGGTCTGCACGCCTGAGCGTGAAGCGATCGAAGCCGTGTTAACAACTCGCCCGCCCACAGCAAGGCCGCGGCCTGCCAACGCGTGCCATTACCCGAACAAACCTGCAGCGGCTGCCAGTGACTAGGGCTAACTCGACTCGACAACTCCTGCTCACGCCTATCACCGTGGTTGACAAGGGCGAGGCCTGATCTCAGGCTGCTTGACCGAAGCTGCCTGCGTCTCGAACCACCCTTGAGCCAAAATGGCTACGGACGGCAATCCCTGATCTTCTTGGGGCAAGGGTCCCAAAGCCAACGGGATCTGGGTGTGATCCGCGAGTGTCTCCCAGACCTTCCCGTCGAGCTTCTCCAGTGACCCTGCGGGCTCCTTCGGCGGCATGCTACAAAACGAGCCCGAGACCTCTGAGGGCACTCCTGATGGTTCTGGAGGCGATTTCGGGAACAAGCCCAGACACTTCCGCCTGCCCCAGCGGAGACGCACTTAGCCGTGGTCCCAACTGCTGCTCGCAAGCGCACCACTCCACGCATCGCCAATTCGTGCCATGTCTCCAGCAACTGTCTCAGCCTCAACATACCCACTCGAAAACGACATTGCTAGTTGTGATGACAGGGCGACATCTCGAAAGGCAATACCGGCTGCTGTCCGAAGAGAGCGTAAAGCTGACTCGGAGAGAGGTCACAACTTTGCACGGTAAGCACTGAGATATTACTGAAAGGCGGTGTAACAGTAGCAAGAGAAGAAGTAGCCAGACAGTAGAATACACTGGACATCCATGATCTCGCATCGCATGCCAATGTACGCCTGGAGCTACGGGACAGTGAAAAGTCATGGTTGCAAATTCGATCTCATCAAGTGACGAGCAAGGAATGACGCCAAGGGCGAGAGAGATGCATCTTTTCCCTCTATGCTACATCATTCGTGGTCGAGCTGTGTGCCTCCCAGTGCGGAAGCGTGCCAGACCTAGGGAGCCAAAGCCACTCGAGAATGTCTAGATCTAAATTTCGTGTGCGCGCGAATGCAGAAATCGGTTGGAGGGCACAGAAGACAGACAAGTAGCTTTACCGAGGCGATTGCCGAGACACCTCGAAAAAACAGCGCGTATCTTCGTGCATCCCCCAATGCATGTGCTGACTGCTATGGTCCGACGGGCTGGCGGGGCTATACGGGATGTGTACGGGATGTTGCGGTGGTGGCTGCTTACTAACAGGCTCGCACCTCGGAGGTGTCGACGCGCACTGCAACGACGACGTGCCGCGGCCAGGAACTCTTGCTCAGCGTGCCGCCGCGGCGGCCCGGGCGCGGCCGGGCGACACGCTGTGCCCTGCAAGAGGGGTCGCGCGTCGCTCCGCTCCGGCGGGCAGGAGGCAGGGAAGAGCTCGGAAGGTTGCTGCCGGGGGGCCAGGGCGCGGTTAGCGTGTCGCGTCGAAGCTGGGGCTCCCTCCCTCCAGCCCTCCTCTGACCTCTCGCCCCCGCGGGTCGCCCCCCCGTGCCCCAATGCGCACTGGCCCGCCCCGCTGCCGTTCGACCGCCGTCTGATCCCTTGCGGCCGCTGACGACACGCAGGTCGCACCGAAGCGCGCGGGCCAGAACCGGCGGCGCACCACGCTGGGCAAGCGTTCCTGTCCGCAGACCACTGCGACCACGACGCCTCCAGAGTCGAATGCCAGATCAGGCAGCTCCCTGCCGCTGCCCCCTCTCGGGGGGCGCCGGGCCATGCACGTCATGGCTGGACTGCCGGCGTGCTGGTGTGCGGTCAGGAGCTTGTGCTTAGCGTGTCGCCATGGCGGCCCCAGCGACACGCTATGCCCTGCTAGCGGATAGCGTGTCGCTCCGCGCTGCGGGGCGGGAGGCTCGGGAAAGGCTCGGGACACTGACGCCTGGGGACCGCGAAGTGGATAGCGTGTCGCACGAGGCGCGGTGGGCCAGAACTGGCGCAGCAGCGACACGGATTTCCGACCGTCTTGCCCCCTCCCTCCCTCTCTCCCTCTCTCTTTCTGTTACCCCGTCTCTTGCCTCTCCAAGCCTGCCCCCTTTGTGCCGCCTGCTCCCCGCTTTGCCGCTCCGTCGCCATCAAGGTGGCCCGACGATCCCCCAAGATGATAGCAAGAGGCCTCGGGGGGAAGGGGGGCCTGCCTGCTTCCTCTTCCCCTCGAAGGGGGGGGGCGAGGAGGAAGAGGAGGAGAAAGGAGAGATGGGCAAGGACATAGGAGGAGGAGGAGAAGGAGGAGGAGAGAGGAGGAGGAGGATGAGGAGGAGGAGGAGGAGGATGAGAAGCAGGAGGAGGAGGAGGAGGAGGAGGAGAAGGAGGAGGAGGAGAGCCTCGAGGAGGAGGAGGATAAGGAGGAGGAGGAAGAGAAGGAGGAGGAGGAGGAGGAGGAGGAGGAGGAGGAGGAGAGCCTCGATCGCCCGCTCCCGCCCCCATTTGCCCAGCGCGGCCCACACAGGCCCATCAGGCCCGCGATATCCAGAATCGCTACGTCGACATCCTTTTCTCTCGAACACATTGCGAGGGGCCAAGCCGACATCCACGTCGGCCGCATCGACGGCTACGACCTCACGGGACCAGAGGTCCTGCAGCACCGTCTGGCACAGGCGGCTACGCCGACATCGTGCTGAAGCCGTGTATTACGTCGACTTCATAAAGCACGGAAGCAACTACAAGAGCACAACACCGCGCAACAGCCACCGCGACATCCACAAAAGCTCCAATCATGGCGACATCATGGAGGGCAATCGCCAGGGGATCGGGATCGGCGCAACCACCGCGGGGACCAGCATCGAGCCGCCCACGATCCAGAGCTACAACGCCGAGGCCCACTACATCTGCCATCGGGGCAGGACTCGAGCGTTGGAAGAACCACAACAGGATCGACCAGTGGGCCGACAACCATCCAGACAAGTCCTGGAGCCAGAACCTCACGGGACAAACAACTACCGGGACGGCAAGGGGAGGAACGACCACCAGGAGCTGGCCAACAACAACCAGAAGGGCAAGGGCAAGACCAGCAAGGGAAAGAACAACACCCAATCCGAAAAATACAAGACACCCAGTAATAACGACGAAGGCCAGAACTACAACAACAACTGCACCATCAGCAGCAAAACAACAACAACAACAACAACAACAACAACAACAGCACCAACAACAACAACAACATTCATTCTAAGGCTGTTCGCTCTTACTTGCCCGCGTGCCGTTCAAAACGAGTTCCCCACACCCTCGATACCCGCCCTTGTCTTCGATCACACCCCCTTGGGGGGGATTATTTCTCTTTGCGGGGGGCAGTGGGCTTAGACAGGCGGGCAAACCTGAACGGGCGGACAATTTTTCGTGGACGTACATGTGCCCGCCATTGGAATTGGTGTGGGCCCTGGAAAAAAAAGGATTGGGAGAACGAGGGAGAGCGGAGGAAGGGATGGGGAGGGACGAAGCAAGAGGGAAAACGCCTGGAGAGAAGGAGCGAAGAGGGGGGCGGTAGAGAGAAAACGACAGATAAGAGAGGTAGAGCAAGAGAGGGAGAGAAAGAGAGGGGAGAGAGAAAGAGAGAGAGAGAGAGAGAGAAAAAAAAAAAGAAAGAAAGAGAGAGAGAGAGAGAGAAAGAAAGAAAGAGGGAGGGAGGAGACAGGAGAGGGGAGGGAGAAGGGAGAAGGGAGAGAAGGGAGAGGGGATAGGGCAGAGGGGCATAAGGGTGAGGGAAGAGAGGAGGGAGAGAGAAGGGAGGAGAGGAGGGAGGAGGGAGGAGGGAGGAGGAGCAGGAAGGTCAGAGCGTGAATGTTCGAGGAAGTCCTAGGCGAAAGCGCCGTTCCTGAAGGAAGTCTCGGGCGGGAGCCCACGACGGGCGGGCGATCCCCTGACGGGCGGGTCGGGCGGGTGGGACATTCAAGCGGGATGTCTGAGTATGGCGAGGGCACGCTTACTAAGTAAATTGTAACGGCGTCCTTGGCGCAGCGTGTTTCCTGAGCGTCGAAAGCGTGACTTCTGAATAAATTGCATGAGAGTCACAGGCGAGAGCGCAATTCCTGAGTAACATGTGAAGGGTTCTCTGGCGGGAGCGGGGGTCTTGATTATATAGCGAGGAAGTCTTGATTCAATTGCAATGAAGTCTCGAGCAGGAGCGCCGTTCCTGAGCAAATTGTAAGGAAGTCTCAGATGGGAGCGGGGGTCTTGACTCTAAATTGCGAGGAAGTCACAGGCGGGAGCGGGGGCCCTGACTCTAAATTGCGAGGAAGTCACAGGCGGGAGCACCGATCCTGAGTAAATTGTGAAGAAATCTCAAGAGCGGGGGTCCTGAGCAAATTTGGAGGAAGTCTTAGGCGGGAGCCGTTGTTGTTGTAATCCTGGGGGCCAGGGGCCCAGTTTGAGCACCAAGACTTTCCCTTTCAAAAAAACAGGGTGCGAGCGTCGAGGGGCACACTTTGATTGAAAAACAAGATGCACCGGTGAGGGGGAATCGACAATAGTTATTCTTCAGGAATGAGAGTTCAACAACAACTGCAACGAGCAGATCGCCAACACTATAAACGATGTTACGCCCACGGAGAACATCTACGCCGTCAGGAGACACGACTGGGGACTGCCCCCCCCAACGACCACAAGCTGAGGGACGAATGGAAGAAGATCAAACACGCCGAGGAGCGAAGAGCGGCAGCTGCTACCGTCACGAACGGCGCTGTAGGCTTGCCTCCCACCGACGCCGTCAACACACATCGCCCTCATCGAAGCGGTGGTCCTCAACCGCATGCCCCTGGGCCCACCAGGCGAGGGAGATGGGCTACACCAAGAGGCCCACGGAGGACCTCTGCGAGCACTGGAAGATCCACCGGCAATAGACAACGATCTACATGAAGGGGATCGAGACCACAGGTCGAGGAGCTCACCACCCTCCAGGGCGACACCAACAACGCCAGAGGTGATCGACATGTTGACACGGAGGCTGCAGATGACGAAGCAGATCAGCCACAGAGGAGCAGACTGCCAAGAAGATCGCCTGCACCACCAGCAGCACCGCAGAGGCAGACGAGGGCAGGTGAGGCCACAGACGGGCGGGGCCTCAGCACCAGGCTCAGGATTCCGACGGAGGACCGCCTGCGCATCATGGCCAACGACATTGAGGAGGGCAACGCCGACGCCAGCGACGAGATCAGCAGCCTCAGAAGACACCTCTGAGCAGCGGAAGAAACTGCACGCCGGCATGACACGACTCAACATCACGAGGCGACTACGGCCGTGAACTACCACTGCGGGCTTAAGAAGGAGGTGAGAAGCTCAACACAGGCGACAGGGCAGATGTCAGCACACCACGGGTACGTGCAGACCACCAACGCGGAGAAGCTCACCAGGGCGGAGGAGGAGATCGACGCTGTGAGGAGACCGCCACCTGATTTAGGACATCAGCCGCTGACAACAGGCGACATCCAACTACAAAGAGAGCTCCAGGAAATGCAGAAGAAGCTTGCAGACAGCAACCGCATGCTAGGCAACACGGGGAGGAGTCTTCGAGACGCAGAAAGACCAGCAGGAGAAATTCAAACTACTACAGCATGATCCTTAGAGGCCAAGGACCACGTCGCCAGCATCGAGGCCAACGCGGCAGACGCCGAGATAAAGGACCACAGCGACGACAAGATCCTGCGTCCGAGGTGGGGCGACGCAGAGGAAAGAACAAACAAGCGACGCAGGAGCTGCTGAAGCAAAATATGCGATGGAGGCCACTATCCACATGACCAACGAGGAGTACGAGCAGAGGCTTAACATACTCCAGCAGGCCATGCAGAAAGGATACCCTGATACTTCCAGGCAACGAGAACGATACCTTGATAATACCTTGATACTACAAGGACATGCACAACTACGAGCAGCACGTGAATTACAATGCCCTGCAAGCTGAAGGACAGGTTCAGCTCGCACTACAGCGAGTTGAGATGGGTACAAGAGAACACGACAAAGCCTTCCAGCACGAAATACAAGCATACCGTCGCAGGGAGACGCAGTGGAGACTCATCAAGGAGAGCAGCACGAGGGGAGGACGGAGGAAGCTACAGAGGAGTTCCAGCACGGCCGACAGGCGGCTCTCTTCGCCCAGCAGCGCCTCAACAACGTCGAGATGGCCGAGGCCATCAACCAGGCCCTCAACATGCCGATTGGTGCAGATGACGAAGACTTCACAGCCGCCACGACTACAGCATTTCTAACAGTCCAGCCACTTGAGCATCCACTGGAGGATGGAGATGCACAGGAGACCCAGACACAGTCCGACGAGATGCTGCGAGAAGCTGATGCACATGCAGTTTTGGTATCGCAGCCAGGCGAGAAGCGACAGGGGCACTACCACATATCCACCCCGCCAAGGACAAAGAGAGCCGCAACTACGCCATCAGGAGAACCTCAGCAGACCGATGAGACGGTCTGGCCAAAGCCACCAGCTGCTTGGACACCGGGATCCATTCCACCAGGACAGCCACATCGACGATCAGAGATCATCGACATCGACACGCCATCACCTGTGAGGAACAGGGACGGCATCACCCCGACGGAGCAGATGACGCCACAAGCAGCAAGTCCCTACATGACCTTCATTAGCACACCTGGGAGAGGATCATCGGCGCCACCATCTCGGAAGCACCCAGCGCCGACAACACGGAGTGCAAGCGGGCAAGCGCACGAAGAACGAAGAGAGCCACTGTCGACCCCAACGAGCCCCACGCCATCGTCGCCGTGACCCCTGAGGCCAACACCCCCACCGACAAGGCTGCGACAGGTGAAGGAGCAGAAGTTGCTGGGAGATCAACGGGCTCATACTGGCGGTCACATAGCGGCCCTGGACCGCATAGGGACGCCGCACATGGTTAGTCTGGCGCACCACTACATACGACCTGCCCAGACCGGCCAGACACCAGACGAGCCACGAACAGCAATACTCTCACACGAGAAGACATAGCGACCTGAGGCCGCGGCTTACGCGGGCCGCCAGAGAGGCACACGTGGAGAACAGGGCGCTTACGCGCGGCCTCACACGGGAATCGTCCGCGCGAGTGTCGGCGCAATCGACTCCGTGTTCTTCCGCCGTTCTGGCGGGGATGGGGGGCACGCCGGGCAGGCACAGCCATCGCTCTACCATGGGTACGCTAGATTGCTGATTTTGGAACCTCTGTAGATGTCAAAACGCTTCCATTGATTAGGGGCATCATGCTCCACTTCTGCCACCCTAGCCGCCGCCCCCCCGCCGGCGGAGGCCGCCTCGTTTTACTTCCGCCGCCTCCCGCCGAGGAACGGACGACCACCCCTTCGACCCTCGACGGCAGGGGCGTGCCCTGGAGCGCCTCGTGTGCAGGAGGGGTAAAACAGGGCCAGGATCGGGATAAATCGCTCCAGAGCGTTCCGGAGCGCTCTAAGAGCGTCCCGGAACGCTCTGGAGCGGCCGCGGCGCTCAATACATCCTCCAAACCCGCCGATTCTCAGAGATTTCGAGTTATCCCGATCCGATTTTGTCCCGATCTTCGTGTCGTTTTAAGGGGAGGGGGCCGCCCTGGCCACGGCGAGCGCCCCCCACCGGCAGGTGCCCCGACCCAGCTCGGAGGCACGGCCCGAAGGCCCGAGCCCCTCCGGAGCCCCCGCGCGGTCCGCCTCTCGGCACCGCGGCCTTCCTCCCGATCTGGCCAGCACCGTGCACTGGAGGGCAGACAAATCCACCCCGATAATAACCACCCCGACACGCGAGGCCTTTAGCGAACGCGCCCAAAGGAGGAAGCGAGCACGGAAGGGCTGTGTAACAAACTCCCAGGGCCGTTGTGTAAACGCCAATTGTCCGGTCGGGTGATTGGAGCCTCCCTTGATAGAAAGCAGGGGCAGAGGCCGCAGGAGACCTTCCGCAAGACACCCAACCCTGCGACCCCAGGATGTCCTTCGACGTTCTGTATGGGAGCGTCCCGCCTCCCATGACATAGCCATCGCCATCCAAAAAAAGGGCACCCTGGTGGCGAGCGGGGCGTTCCTTGGCATGGGTTTCGACTGCAACGGAGGGCCACGCTGCGGAGACGGGGCGTGCAGCAGCGCGGGCAGCTGTAGGCACGAGAGCGAGCGCCTGCCGAACCGAATCGAGGTGCGAGAACGGGGGGGGGCGAGGACCAAGCGAAGGAGGACTGGGGAAGGACCAGGAGTGAGTTCGACAAAACAGCTCTTCCAGGATGGGGCACGACCGCCCCCCGCGCCCCCGTGGTCTCATTCGCGGGCAGGCAGCGGTGCGGAAACCGTGCTTTCCTTGTGCTGAAACGACTTGCACTCCCATGGGTCGCATGTCCAGGATTTTGGAGCCGGGGCCTGGGGCCTCTTCTCTCATCGACGTCTCTTGGAAAGGTGCACTGTTTTCGAAAACCACGGTAGGAGCATCAGGAAGAGAACCATACCCCTCGTAGTTGCGGACAAGAGTGAGGGGGCGGGAAAGGAGTCGTCAGCAACCCGCCCCACGTGCAGACTTCTTGCGCATGGTACGATGCTGCTTCACCAAAGCAGCGCGGGTGGATCGCTGATAGGTCAGGGGCGTGTCGCGGGTGGGTCGCGGGTGGGCCGCGGGTGAGGACGACGAAAATCAAAATAGCAAGCCACACCGCGAACGCCCACTTCGGCCACGCACCCAGGGGCTCGGCCCCCTGACTACGACGAGGAGGAGGAGCACGAGGACGAGCGGGAGCCAAAAAACGACTCGCACACCAGGGAATAGGAAGGACGCTCCCCAGGCCCAGCTCGGGCCCCTGGAGGCCGAAGACGACGAGAGACACATCCGCCTCCAGGAATGAGGAAGAGCGCCACGTCCACCACCACCAGGGACCAGCAGCGGGAGCGCCAGGTGGCCCCCCCCCCTCTCTCGCTCGAGACATCCGTCATCCCCAGCTCGGAGAGGCATCGCGGACCTCCTCGCTGGAGGTGCCCCCCCTGGTGGTGGTGTTGCGCCTCCCTCCCCCGAGCCTCAGCTCTTTCGAATCCGAGATCGACTACAGAACTGATCTGCCCCAACACGAGAAATCTTCTTGATTTCTCGTGGGTGAAGCATTTCTCGACTACAGAGCTGATTTGCCCCGAGGTCGTTTCTTCGTCGAGACATGCTTCGCCCACGAGACATGCGCAGAATGCTTGCGGATCCTCGGAGCCTGCTGCGCACCTTCTCGCGGACTCGACTGCGAAACATCGGTGTTGGGTTCTGCAGTCGAGCTCCCCGCTCGAAGTTCTCTCGGTGCTCTGCTGGAGGTCCGGGCGAGGGCGCCGCGCCTCGCCCTGGCCGCCAGCCCCCCCCCCCTGGGGCGCCCCCCCTGGGCAGAGGCCTCTCCAGCTGGGGCCCCACACAGAGGAGGTCAGTCCACAAGAAGCCTTCCACAAGAAACCCAACCCTGCAGATGCCAGGATGGCCACTGACTTTTTGGTGTGGGAGAGTCACGGCTTCCACCGCAAAACCATCGAAACCAAGAAGAAGCCCAGGGCACCCTGGAGGCGAGCAGGCTGTGTCTTGACCTGGGTCTCCCCTGTATATCAGCCTGGGTCGGAGGACCGCGCCGCATCGCCAGTGCATCGTCGACGCATCGGTGACGCCGCTGGTGCGTCGGCGCCTTTGGCGTGAAGCCGTCCTGGCTCCACATCCAGCCGCATCGCCGACGCCTCGGCGGCGAGGCGCGGCCCTCCGAACCCCTCGGCGATGAGGCCCCGTCGCTGCCAGGCCTTGCGCACGAGGCCGCAAGCGGCCTCACGCGGTGGGCCTCAGGAACTGCCCGATCTGGGCGGCGAAGATCTGCTGCATCGGCTGCCCCGCCACCTGTCGCGCGCGACGGGCTCGGGAGCGCCCTGGCTCGGCCCGTGTATCCCCCGAGGTCTGGGCGTGGCTAGCTCCACACCGGGCGTTTTCGCCGAGCTCCGGGCCCTGGAGGCCTCACACATCGATCCGGTTCGCCAAAAGGCCGCAGCAAGATAGGGGTCTGGGGCTCTTCTCGCGCATTTTCGCAAGGTTGCGAGCTTTTCGTAGCGTCGAATGTCAGGGTCATTCAACCTCCTTCTCCTGCATCCTCCTCCATCCTCCTCCTCCTCCTCCTCCTCCTCCTCCTCCTCCTCCTCCATCCTCCTCCTCCTCCTCCTCCTCCTCCTCCTCCTCCATCCTCCTCCTCCTCCTCCTCCTCCTCCTCCTCCATCCTCCTCATCCTCCATCGTCCTCATCGTCCGTCCTTCTCGTCTTCTCCCCGGATCATTCAACATCGAATCGGCAAACCAGTTCGAATCGGAATGTGCGTTGGTTGAATCGGGCTGCCTCCCCACGACGTCGAGATCGAACCGGATCGGCCGCTCCAGGATGCACAAACCATGCCGTGCAAACACCGGGACCGCATCGGAGCGTCGAACATATCTGCATCAGCGAGACCAGGCTGGCCGGAATCGACGTCGAAAACCGGATCGAGGTGGACCCGGTCCTCCCTCCCGAGAAGCCAGGACCCGAGTGAGCACCGCAGGGGGGGGGGGGGGCAGAGCCGAGGGGGGGGGGGGGGGGGAACACCCGGGGGGAAGCCAAGCCGAGACCACGGCGACCACGGCGGCCCTCCCGGCGTGCTCCTGCTCGTCGCCGCGGCGGAGTCCACCTCGACAAGCAGGCCGGGACGGACCCCGAGGCGGGCTTCGGGAGCCAATCTTTGAAGGGGCCCCAGGACACACAAATAGATACACACACAAATAAAACTAATCACCATCTTTCCCCATCTTTTCTGGGTTTCTGTCTTCCCCCCCACTTCCCATATTTTCCTATATTTTCCTGGGGATCGACGATTCATTGTGTCTGTGTGTGTTTTTTCCCCTCCTGAATCTTGGAGGACTCGGGGCAGGAGGCGCTGTGGTCTCGGCGGGCCCTCCCGCAGAAATCTGACCGGCCTGGAACAGACTATCCCTATCCCTGTGCGGGGCATCTCCTCCTCCTCCGCCTCCTCCTCCTCCTCCTCCTCCTCCTCCCCCTCCTCCTCCTCCTCCTCCTCCTCCTCCTCCTCCTCCTCCTCCTCCTCCTCCTCACGATGCCAATCTTAGGGATTCCCTTACTGTTTGAGGGCGCATCCCTGAGGCTGGTAAGAATCGGCGACACATCGCCAGCAGATCGGCGATGGGCTCTCGAGGGCGCACACTCCGCCCTCCTGGGCGGGGCTGGGCGCCCAAACCCCCGCTGGCGATGGAGGGGCCATTGGGGGTCGATGCCCCCCCCCGGCCACCGAGAAGCCATCCCCTCCTCCCGGTGAAGCCGAGGGCCCCCCTCTCCCCGCCGCGGGTTGATGGACTGATGCACTCCATCTTGAACCAGCGGCCTTCCCAGACCCCCTCGCGAGTTGCTTACCAGCCTCGAACGTATCCCTATCCTCAAGATTGACACGCCACAAAGCGATGACAATCTCAGGGATGCGCCCTCAAAAAAATAAGGGAATCCCTAAGATTGGCATCGTGATAAGGAGATGTCCAGCATAGGGATAGGGATATGTTCCAGGCTGGTAAGTTGCGGGCACCGGGACCGTCACAGAACAAGCCGGGATGGACATCCCGTCCCATCACCCGGTGGACGTCGACACTGAACCCGGGACGAAAAGCAACGCCACCCCGCGGGGACGGAGGGGCCCTGCAGGGCCCGCGGCTTGAACGAATCGCACCGTCGAGTGTTCGGGAAATTGCGACGGTCGGTTTCCTCTCAGTTTGGGCCTCCACACAGCCCCCTGGCGTAAACCCACGACAGGGCTGAGATCCGACCCCAGACCAATGCCAGGGTTGGGGCATCGACAGTATAGTTGGAATGTTCTTGTTGCCTGTGCAGCCCTCCAGAAACATCCTCTGGAGAGATACGGAGCTCTCTGAAGGTTCTCCGCTCTTCCGATCGGAGCTCATTCGGCGCCGAATGAGCATGTTCGCTTTTTCTATACGAGGTCGCCGAACGGGACCCGATCGGGGCAGCGAGGGCATGCATACAAATATGCACATATCAAGAATTATTGTTGAATTAAATCGGAATTCGACGCATGGGCTCGGTTGCTGAACGGGCACGTCGATTTCGCCGAATGCTTTACTTAAACATGTGGTCCCATCAAGCGCGCCGACTGGGACCAGAAGCCAACCGAGAAGGAGCTTTTCCGACGAATACAAGCACTCCAACCATGTCAACCACCAAACAAATAATATTGTTTTGTCGCACTTGCTCCCAACCATCCTGTGGTGTTGGGTCCTCGTTTCGAAGATACAGCGCCCAGCGTTCCTTCCTTACTTCCTTCCATTCTTCCTTCCTCCTCGCCCTCCTCCCTCCTCCCCCTCCTTGCATCCGCCATCCGCGCCAGTCAACAATTTCGGCAAAACCCTCACACATTTCGTGGCCCCAGGCCCCAGTGGCTGCGCTCGCATGCGCCCGCAGCACCCATTTCGGCACACCCCTCAAACGCTTCGTGGCCCCATAGGGGGCTCCACAGAAGTCCCCAGTGGCTCCCATGTCGGCACTCCCCTCACACGCTTCGTGGCCCCATAGGGAGCTTCGCCGAAGGCCCCGTGGCTGCGCTCGCACGCGCCCGCCGCACCCATTCCGGCACACCCCTCACACGTTCCGTGGCCCCACAGGGAGCCCCACCGAAGGCCCCAGTGGTTGCGCTCGCATGCGCCCGCCTCGCCCATTTCGGCACACCCCTCACAGGCTTCGTGGCCCCATAGGGAGCACACCAAGGGCCCCAGTGGCTGCGCTCGCATGCCCCCGCCACAACAACCCTCGTACGTTTCGTGGACCCATAGGGAGCTCCACCGATGACAATACTCACAATTGCGTTACTCGCAACTGCACACGGGTCCTTAGCCAGACTAATTGTTTATAGTCCACGGGCGCCCGGGCCGCAGGGTGTAGCAGGTAGCCCCGACGACAAAACCGAATGAGCTCTGCAGAAACTCGTTTGACAGTCTGTGGACTCCAGTTAAGGTCCTCGGAAGAGCTCTTCTGGGGGGCTCCTGATGAAGTTTCTGCGGGGTCCGTAGGAGGGAGAAGACTACATGTGGCCTTGAAGCACAGATGGCCGTCCGTGGGGGGGGGAGGAGGAGTGGGGGAGGGAGGAGGACTGGCAGGACTAGGGATTCCTTGCCGCCGCCTGCAAATACAATACTCGATGCTTACGCATACTTCCCCATTGGTCCTTTCTCCGCACTGTTTTTTTCCGCTTGGCCTGCCAAGATGATGATAGAGGGCGTTTGTTGCTTGCCAAGCACGTCGCGCAACGCTTGATGTTTCTAGGAGAAGCAAAGAGAGAGTGAGAGAGAGAGAGCGATGGACAGAAACAGAGAGGGATATAGGTATGGATTTATATCTATGCGTACATCATGGATACAGCTGGTACTTATAAGTGTACAAACGGAGAAATAGAAACGGGGAGAGAGAGAGAGAGAAAAAGAGAGAGAGAGAGAAAGAGAAAGAAAGAGAAAGAGAGAGAGAGAGAAAGACAGAAAGAGACAGACTGACAGACAGAGAGGCGGGGAGAAAGAGAAAGAGAGGGAGAGACAAGGACAGATAGACAGAGAATCGATCCAAATCAAGCGACCATAATGCGTCCCTGAAGAACAACCACCTTGCATCCCTGGGTCCTGGGTGCTCTCCAGAGGCTTCTCTGCTTCCTCCGTCCAACGGTGTTCTTGATGGTCCCGGCGTAATGTTTTTCATGTTTGCGGGTTCTAGGTGCCTTGCACTCTTACTCTCCATCCTGGCAATCCCACCAGCCCTCTAAGCGTAGGTGGTCTGACGGGTCAGCACTCCAAAACCCTGTACTTTCCGCTCGGGGAAGACCCATATCCTTAGGCGTGGTACCCACGCTCTGCCAGCTAGCTGACCGCTAGCGGCTCAGTCCAAGGTGTCCCATCAGACCCATCAAAGAATTAGCCTGGCGAGGGGCCCAACCCGTAGCAGCTTAATGCCTCATAGGTGGCAAATACTGATGAGCACGATCCGCGTGAGGGATGTGCCAGAATGGTTGGGGGGATGCGTGCGTACTGTTTCCCTGGGGCTGTAGGCGAAACTCCCGATTGGGCACGATCAGTGAAAGGGTTGAGCCGAAATTTGCGGGGAGAGCGCGTGCGAACCCCGCCAGGGGGGCCGTAGGTAGATCTGCCGTGTGAGGCGCGTGTATGTGTGTGTGTGCGTGTGTGTGTGTGTGTGTGTGTCTGTGTGTGTGCGTGCGTGTGCGTGCTTGTGCGTGTGTGTGTCTGTGTGTGTGTGCGTGTGGGCGTGTGGGCGTGTGTGCGTGTGTGCGTGTGTGCGTGTGTGCGTGTGTGCGTGTGTGCGTGTGTGTGTGTGTGTGCGCGTGTGCGCGTGTACGCGTGTGTGCGTGTGTGCGTGTGTGCGTGTGTGCGTGTGCGTGTGTGCGTATGTGCGTGTGTGTGTGCGCGTGTGTTTGCGTGTGTGCGTGTGTGTGTGTGTGTGTGTGTGCGTGTGCGTGTGCGTGCGCGTGTGTGCGTGTGCATGCGTTCGTGTGTGTGCGTGAATGTGTGTGTGTGTGTTTGTGTTTGAGCGTGTGTGCGAGTGTGTGCGTGCGTGCGCGCGTGTGTGCGCGTGCGTGCGCGTGTGTGCGTGTGTTTGCGTGTGTGAGTGTGCGTGTGCGTGTGTGTATGTGTGTGTGTGTGTGTGTTTGTGTGGTTGCGCGTGTGTGCGCGTGTGTGCGCGTGTGCGCGCGTGTGTGCGCGTGTGCGCGCGTGTGTGTGTGCGTATGTGCGCGTGTGTGCGCGCGTGTGCGTGTGTGCGGGTGTGTGCGCGTGGTTGCGCGTGTGCGCGCGTGTGCGCGTGTGTGCGCGTGTGTGATCGTGTGTGCGCGCGTGTGTGCGCGTGTGCGCGCGTGTGTGTGTGTGTGTGCGTATGTGCGCGTGTGTGCGCGCGTGTGCGTGTGTGCGCGTGTGTGCGCGTGGTTGCGCGTGTGCGCGCGTGTGCGCGTGTGTGCGCGTGTGTGATCGTGTGTGCGCGCGTGTGTGCGCGTGTGCGCGCGTGTGTGTGTGTGTGTGCGTATGTGCGCGTGTGTGCGCGCGTGTGCGTGTGTGCGCGTGTGTGCGCGTGGTTGCGCGTGTGCGCGCGTGTGCGCGTGTGTGCGCGTGTGTGATCGTGTGTGCGCGCGTGTGCGCGTGTGTGCGCATGTGTGCGCGTGTGTGTGCGCGTGTGTCTGCGCGCGTGTGTGCGCGCGTGTGTGCGCGCGTGTGCGCGCGCGCGTGTGCGCGTGTGTTGGAGGTCTTGTGCGAGCGTGTGTGTGCGCGAGCGCGTGCGCGTGCGCGTGCGATTGCGCGTGCGGGTGCTGATGCGGGTGTGGGTGCGGGTGCGGGTGCCAGTGCGGGCGCGTGTGCGTGTGCGTGTGCGTGTGCGTGTGCGTGTGTGTGATTGTGCGGGTGCGTGTGCGTTTGCTTGTGCGTGTGCATGTGCGTGTGCGTGTGCGTGTGCGTGTTCGTATAGATATGAGTGTGGGTGTGGGTGTGGGTGTGGGTTTGTGTGTGCGTGCGTGCGTGCGTGCATGTTTGTGTGTGTGTTGTGTGTGAGTATGTGTGTGTTGTGTGCTGTGTGTGCGCGCGTGTGTGTGTGTGCTTGCGTGTGTGTGTGTGCCTCGAAATCAGTTCGCGTACGCTATGGACTCGTTCCCGCTGAGGCCGTAGGTGGAGCTCCTTGCTGGGCACGAAAAGTGTGAGGTGTGTGTCGAAAGATGCCCGCATCCAACCACGTATCTCGGCGTACCCTCACATGTGTCGAGCCTCTTTGGGAGCTCCACCGACGGCCCCAGCAGGAAAATTCGCATTCGTCCCCCGACCCATTCTGGCATATCCTTCACGCGTTTCGTGTCTTCAGGGGCTCCACCTACGGCCCCAGCGGGATAGCTCGCTTGCGTCCCCGCACCCATCTCGGCTCATCCCTCACACATTCCGCGTGAGGAGTGTGCCGAAATGTGCCCACGTCCCCCATGCAACCGTTCCCGCCGAAACCGTAGGTGTGGAGATCCCTGCAGGGCGCGCTACGTGTGAAGGGTGTGCCGGAACGGGCCCACGCACGCAGTGCGACCTTTCCCGCCGGGGCGGTAGGTGGAGCTCCCTGACCAGGGGGCACGGAAAGTGCGGGGTGTGCCGAACGGGGCCCGCTGATAGTCATGCAACCTTTCCCGCTGAAGGGGAACGCGGAGCTCCCCAAAAAAGCCAGGCACGAAATTGCGTACAGGCACACGTCCGAGCAATGCCAAGCCCGCCCTTGTCCAGACAGCCCTCTGTGACAGAGGATAGGTCGACCCCTATTCCAGGCTCCGTGGGGTTCCCCCAGATGGACCAAACAGTGGGGGGGCCAACCCTGCGAATCATACGATCGTGGGGACGCCCATCCTCGATCTGGGGTGCGTCCGAATGGCCCCACCCACCCCCCATGGGGTGGATCCCCAGGTCTCCCTCCCTGCTCGAGCGGCTTCACCCGTCGTCGAAAAAGGCGGGGGTGGGGGGGGGGGGCTGGGGGAGACAAAGTCGCCTGGCGACTCTGCTCGCGGGCCCGGGGCGCTGGGCGCGCGGAGCGCCCGCCTGCGCCACTCCGAGCTGCTGGGGCTGCAGCTGGCCCAGGGGCTGCGCCGGCATGCCAGCTGCACGCGCCCGCGCGCGCGGCCCCCCCGTCTCGGGCGCGAGCTAGGTGGGACGTCTTGTTAGATGTTTCCTGGCAAGGGCTGAAGCTGATCTGCATGTTCGTCCGCATCTTGACCTTCCTCGCTGGCCTGGTTTCCGTCGGGATTGGCCACAGTCCTCGTTAATCCTTGTAGACGCGAGCTGATGAACGGGGAGGGCGAGAACAAAGGGGCCCAGGGACACACAAACAAATATGCACTAATCCCGACATGGGGCCCAGGGACACACAAATAGATAGACACAAGTCCCCAGATCCCCGATACCTTCCAATATTTTCTGGGTCTTCGTCCCCCCCTACACCCTTCCCACATTATCCCATATGCTCCTGGGAGTCGACGATTCCTTACGTCTGAGTGTCTCGTTCCCTCCTGAGATAAAAAAGGGGGGAGGAAGAAAGGCTCCCTTGGCGAGCCCCACAGACCACCTTCTGGGCCCTGGAGGGCCCCTTCAGGGGCCCCAGCGCACCTCGCCGCCCCCGCCTTCTGTCACCCCCCCCAAGGGGGCCTCCTCCTCCTCCTCCTCCTCCTCCTCCTCCTCCTCCTCCTCCTCCTCCTCCTCCCCCTCCTCCCCCCTAAAATTTAGGCGGCCTCCGACCTCCTCGCTCTCCCCTGAGATCCGGGCGTTGCAGCTCTTTCGCGCCGCGCCTGTTCGCCCAGCTTTAAAGCTGTGCGTAGCCCGCCTAGCTTTTAGCGGAAGAGGTTCGCTCTCGCCCCGCAGATCAAAAAGCCTGTTCGCCCAGCTTCGGGCCCCAGGACCCCCACGAGTGGGCCCAGCTCGAGAACTGCGGCAGAAAGCGGGGGGGTCAGGGATCGGGTCGTAATGTTGCCAGGGTGATGCAACTGTTCGCAAGCAGACTATCTCGAATCTTCTGGGCTTCAAAACGCGTCGAACGCACAACTGTTTCGCTTGATGGGGTTATCATTGTTCCTCGGCCATCAAGAGCCGTGAGCAAAAACGCGACGGCCAATGTTTCGCCATCGTCGAATTCTGGGTACCCTTGCCAGGCCCTCGGGCCGTCGGAGCACGGCTCGGGATGAGAGACGGTCCCCGAGGCTGTGCAGGAAAGCGCTGAGCATAACACGCTCCAGCAAGGAAGTGGGCGTGAGCCCAAACAGTCGAAATTTGCGCGAATCTGCATTAACTGTTCCCTGCTCCTTGCAAAGTATTGAGATCGCTGTCTGTTCCAATTATTCGTTGCTTGACACATGCAAGCCGTGTCATAATTATAAGCCACATTCCCGACATATTGCAAACCACCAGCTCACTGCGTGCGACATGGCTTACTGCGACAAAACCGGCTACCCCATACTACTTAACATATACCAGCTACTACGGGCTAGCTGCGACGTTATACCTACTGCCTGCTGCGTGCACACACCTGGGTGTTACTTGCAACGTACCCCCCAACATCTCATTCGTACGACTCATTACCTCCAACCCACTTTGTACTATCCGAAAACTATGTCTAATAACCTGCTACATCAGTAGCTCAGCACATGGTGTGTGTGTGTGAGTGTGTGTGTGAGTGTGTGTGCGAGTGTGTCACGTGCTGCAGAACTGGCCTGACACATGCTCAATCATTCCTCATGTTGCACATTGCAGCCCCGCCCAACCATGCTTTTAATGATGATGCTTACTACTTGATGCAACACTTGATACTTGCTCGCTTTACGGATTCCCCCTCGTAATGCGACCAAGTGAGTATGACAATCTGGCGGTGACGATTAAACAACTATTGTTTCTGGACTGAAACCGTCAAATCGACATAAACAAACAACACACCAAACAAAATAACGAAGAAACAAAAACGCCTGGAACAAATAATCACACCCGTACGAATCCAGATTCCAATACGATAAACGGGAAGCGCGGGGTTGCGCGGGATTGCGCGCGCAACGCGCGTGGTGTTCTGAGGTGGGAGCACCCCGCGCGCTGTGCGCGCAACCCCGCGCTCCGACGACGGCGGCCTTTGCGGATAGGACGTCGGGCGGGAGGGGGCGACGACGACGGCGTCGTTTCCGGATGGGACGTAGGAGGGGGGGGGGGATGAGGGGGGGGGGAAAGCGTCGTCGGCGGCGGGGTGCGACGACGGCGCCCCCTATGCGGATAGGACGCAAGGGGGGGGGGAGGGGGGGGAGAGCGACGGCGGCGTCCTTTGGGGATGGGACGTACGGGGGTGGAGGGGGGGGGGTGCGACGACGGACGGCGGCCAGATGCGACGACGGTGGCGGGGTGCAACGACGGCGCCCCTTTGCGGATAGGACGTGGGGGGGGGGGGAGGGGGTGCGACGACGGACGGCGGCCAGGTGCGCCGACGGCGGCTTTTGCGGATTCCCCGGTCGGAGGGCGTACGGGGAGAACCAGGGGGGGGTTGCGATGACGGCGGCGGCGCGGTGCGACGACAGCGGCCTTTGGCGCTCGTCGCGGATGGGACGCGGGGGGGGGGGAGCACGACGGCGTCCTTTGCGGATGGGAGGTCAGGGGGGGAGGGGGGGAGAGGTTGGCGACGACGACGGCGGCGGGGTGCGACGACGGGTGCGACGACGGCGCCCTCTGGCGCCTTTTGCGGATCGGACGTAGGGGGGGGGAGGGGGGGGTGGGGGACGACGGGCGATCCTTGTTGATGGGACGTAGGGTGTGCGTGCGTGAGTGCGTGAGTGAGTGCGTGCGTGTGTGTGTGTGTGTCTGTGTGTGTGTGTGTGTTCGCGTGTGTGTGTTCGCGTGTGTGTGTGTGTGAGTGGTGTGTGTGTGTGTGTGCGCGTGTATGTGTGTGTGTGTGTGGTGTGTGTATGTGTATGTGCGCGAAGGCGGCGGCGGCGGGGTGCGACGACGGGTGCGACGACGGCGCCGTCTGGTGTCTTCTGCGGATCGGACGTAGGGAGGAGGGGGTGTGTGCGACGACGTCGCCCTTTGCGGATGGAACGTTGGGGAGGGGGGGACGACAACGGCGGCCTCCTTCTGCGGATAGGAGGTAGGCGAGGGGGTGCGACGACTACGGCGGCAGGGTGCGGGTGCGCCGACGAGCGCTCTTTGCGGATGGGACGTAGGGGGGGGGGGGGGGGGGGGGGGGCGACGACGGCGCAGGGGTGCGACGACGTCGCCCCCTTTGCTTCGACGACGGCCCCAGGGTGCGACGACGTCGCCGTTTGCGGATAGGACGGGGCGGGGATGTGCAGGGCCCACCAGGAGAGAGACAGAGAGAGAAAAACAGACAGACAGAGCGAGAGAGAATGATGCGACTCCGTGCCAGGCCCTCCTCCTCCTCCTCCTCCTCCTCCTCCTCCTCCTCCTCCTCTTCCCTCCTCCTCGCCCTCCTCCTCACTCCTCCTCCTTCCCTCCTCGCCTCCTCCTCCTCCTCCTCCTCCTCCTCCTCCCTCCTCCTCCTTTTCCTCCTCGCCCTCCTCCTCCTCCTCCTCCTCCTCCTCCTCCATCCCCCCCTCTCACGCCGGTCGCTCCGTTGGGGCGCGGGGGGGGGGGAAGATGTAAAAGAAAGTTTCCGGTGCCGGGGAAAATTTCTAATCGTTGCCTGGACAGTGGGGTGGTGGGACCCCCCCCCCGGGCGTGTTCGAATCATTTGCTCGCATTGCTCTTCCGCCTTCTCCGCATCATCCACCTTTTCTACACTTTATCTTCCATCTCCTCCTGGTCCTTCCCTTCCTCGCACTCGTCCTCCTGGCCCACCTGGTCCCTCGCGAAGATGAATCAGCAACCGAGCCCGACGATCGCAAAACATACCTCTTGCCCGCTCCCATTACCCGTCCTCGTCATTATTATTGGTACCTTCTTTCCTCGCCCTTCTCCTCTACCTTTCTCCTGCTCCTCTTCCACGTCAGCACACCCTCCATTGCCATAGAAAGCCAGATGCGAAATCAACCGCACGTTCCCTGCTCATCTTGCCCTCCTCTGCGAGCTGTAAAGCTCCCCAAAAGCCTTGGCGCTGGTGGACGGAGCAGACGGAGGACCGCAACCGCTGCAGAAGCACCTTCGGGGGCGCGCGCAGACCTCAACCCTTCAGTCATTCGGACACGCAGCTGATACCGCTCGTTCCAGCTGCGCCGCTGCGTCGCGAGCCCCGGCGGGGCGTAACAATTTCAGAGCCGCCAGAAGCGTGGGCGAGACTAAAGCGTGCAGCGGGTCAGCTCGTGCAGCGAAGCCCTGGGCCGACTCGGCCAAGCAAGCGCCTGGGGGGGAGCGGCACGTGAGAGGCCCGGGGGGCTTGGACAGATTGGCCCAGGACGAAGCAGAGCTATCCTTCGCTGCTCTCTCAATCGGCCCTGACCCAAGGCTCAACCCTTAGGCCCTGCCCCGAGGCTTGCCCCCAAGGCCGACTTCCAGGCCTACCCCAGCCCTACCCCTGGGCCCTGCCCCCAGGTCCACCCTGGGCCTCAAATCCCTGGATCTTCCGCCCCTTTCCCTGGGGCCGGTCTTTCGTCCCGAGCTCTTCGTGATGGCCACGGGACGGAGGTCGAAAGCGGCCCCCTGAAGCCGAACCTGTGAGACGGCTCCCCGAAGAGATCTGGGCCACTTCCAGGGGTTCAACTTTGCATCATGAATCCTTTTTCGACGGCTCAGCGGCCAGGTAAGGTTCCCCAGAGGCCGGAAATTGCCAAAAACCGTCCGTCGTGATAAGTGTTCCGCGACGCGAATATTAGAGGCCTCCTGGAAGGGGTCGGAGTAGATGGGGTCGGAAAATCGCGCCGCATCGTCGATGCATTCGCGATGCACCGGCGACGTCGGCCGTGAAGTGGCGCCGTCGGCGTACCGAGAATCGGGCTTCGCATCGAGCCACATCGCCGATGCATCGGTGATGCGGCGCAGTCCTCTGACTCCATCTACTTGGACCCCATCTGTGAGGCCTAGAAGTATTTCAGGGGAGGCAGCTTCGTTCTACTGCCGCTGGCGGAGGCAGGCTCGTTTGACTTCCGCCGCCTTCTGCATGCCTTCCGCCGAGGAAAAGATATCAACTCCTTCGATCCTCAAAGGCGAGACCCTCTCTTGAATGCCTCTTATGTCTCGGGTGCTGCTGGAATTGTCCCTGGCCGATGTGCCCCCAGGGTTCCCAAGGAGGCCCCCACGGCTTCCAGAGCACCCCTCACAAGGCCCAGGGGGCCCCAGGGTCTCCAAAATGGAGCGCAAAGCTTGGGGCACCTTTGGCCAGGGGTACCTGTAGCACCCCCCGAGCAGGGTGCAGGAGTCAGGAGGACCGCAACATCGAGAAGGAGCTGGCAGCTCCTGGCGACGCAGGCCGGCCGCATAAATCGCTCAGCCTTGAACGATCGCGGCTTTCCGACAGAGCAGAGCGTTAGATGTCGGCCGAAGCTGGGCCACTGACGCCCGCGCTTGGGTCACCGCCACGACAATGCGGCGCGAACCTGCCGTATGGTGTGGGGCCTACGGATAAGATTTGGGTGTCGAGACTGCTTTCAGGATCGCTCCCCTGGCCCCCACCACAGTTTCTCCAAGCATCGTGGAAGCTGTGACCACCGTCCCCCCCAGCAGCTCTTCTTAACCCCGCACACGTCTTGGCCCCCCAAACATCAAAAAGACTTCGCGAAGAATGAGGAATGAACAATGTGTACCCCTCTTCTTCTAAGCAGCCTTTGCGGGCAAGATTCATGTCTATATCCAGTGCCTCTTGGACCTTTTTGGAAGCGGCGCCACAAGGCCGAGGCGCACTGGATGTGGATAAAAATCGAGCCTCCAGGGGGCAAATCTATCCACATCCCGTGCGCCTCGGGTTTCTTGGGAAGGGCGCCCGAAACTCCATACGGCAGTGGATATCGACAAAAGTATTTGAAGGGAAACTGGGACACAGAAAATAGATACACACAAGTACACATATTTCCCATATTTTTTTTTTATATTTTTTCTGGGTTTTTGTCTTCCCCACCACCTCCCATATTTTCCTATATTTTCCTGGGGATCGACGATTCATTGTGTCTGTGTTTTTTCCCTCCTGAGGAAAATCAGAAAGACTTCGCGAATAATTAGGAATGCACAA